TGGATTTTTTCCTGCTGGAATTTGGCTTAGATTTTAGGCTTTTAGGGTGCTAAATATATTTTTAATTTTGTTGCTGTTTTTCTCTTTAGGTTCAGCAAATTCTACAGTGATTTTCTGTACATGTATGTTGGCCTATTATATTGGTCTGTTTCTATAACAAAGCTTCCGACCTCTTAGGATCTGTCCATGCCTTAATCAATATTTACTTGTGAATACGTGTGAAAACACAGAACTGCTGACATTTGCTCTTGTAAATCTGGTAAGAAGTAGTCAGTCTTGGAAATAAGTGGTTATTTTATATGAAGTCCACAACTTGAGGAAATAAGCTCCACTGATGTATACTGCATCTTTCCCACGTAACTTCTATCAAATTGTTGACAGTTCTCTTGTCACTTATGGTTATACTATTACACTGTCTGCAAAAGTCCTCTGTGCATATCACACTGGATTTTCTGGGTGATTGAGTAAATGGGACCATTTGGTTTTCTTCCCAGGTGGGGAGCAGTGAGAAGAGGGAGATTCTCTGTTTTTATCAATAGCCTCTTATTTTCTTGGGTCTGAAGCCCATGTGTGAATGTGAGCTAACTGATGAGAGCCTAGAAAGCAGTAACTGCAGTCTTAATGGTCATGGTTCCTGGGCTTTGAAGGAAAGAGAGAAACAACCAGGTTGTGTGATCTAGAGAAGTGTTGAATACGCAGCGTAAATTGATTTAGATATGTGACAGGGGAATGCACAGAGAAAAGGAATAAACTATTGTTTGTATCTGATGAGAGAAAGGCAGAGTGTAATGGACATGAATTACAACGACAGGTGCACAGCTTTGCAGGGGCAGTAGGTGATTCATTTTGATCCCAAGGATAGTTAACTGCAGAAATGGATCCTCTGAGGAGGTTAGTGCACCTCTGGCCAGTACTTAGAACAACTCATGCTCTCCACTGCATACTCTTTGTCATTGCTCATGATATTGGAGAGTGGATGACTTCTGGTGAACTTCCTTAACATCCAAATAAATAGATACTTACCTGGTCCACTGGGCGTGATACAGCTGTCATGGAACCATTCTTCATGAAGCCCCTAAGGGCCATGGTTTTTCAAAGCTAAGCTTTCACAGCAGGTTGAAAAGCAATTGACTGGAGATTTTTTTTTTATCGGTGAAGGAATTATGGTGCTTGTTCTGCTTGTGAATCATTTCAATTCTGTTAGCATTTGAAGTTACTTTGTATAACTGTATCTAATAACAATACAAGTAGTATAATAGAAAGTGACTTAGAGATACTCCGGGTGCCATAGACTCCACTAGTTGCTGAGTTTGTCACCAACTTTGTTTAATTCATGTTTGTCCTATTTCAAGTGCAGAGAAGCAGATAAGAAGTTTGCATGCGGGACTTGTTCATTATCCATGAAGTCTGTTCTTTGCTACAGAAAGTTTTATTCAAAAATTATTTTCATTTATGGTGGAGATGATAGTGTGTGTGCTTGCTTTCTACCATAGGTAAAGTAAAAATCCTCTCTTTCCTTGCTTCCTCTTAGAAAGCAAATGTTGGAAGACTTTTAAAGGTGAGCAGTGGGCAAAACTCTCTCTGCCTGTGATGCCGAAACATCAAAAACAGTGACAACAGAATTTGGGAGTAATGGAACAATTCAGCCCACCTAGTGCAAATCATCTCTCCAGGATTCAGTCTGAGAGATGGTTCTTTTGAGACTGGATGTCCTAATTAAATGAATGGGGCATGCCACTTGGCCAGGAGGTCTGCATAAGAACTTCCAAGGACGTGAATAAGAAGTAGGTCGTTAGAGTATGAGGTAGCCTAGTTTCTAGACACTACCAATAGTGTTTAAGTGTAGCTTTCTTTAACAGATTTATATTTTTCACTAGGCCCATTACAAACAAAAAGTTAGACCAGAAGGGACAGAAGCCTTAGGATCACCTTTCTAGCTGAGCGCTGTAACCATTAGACTGAATTAAAGCCCTGCTTCATGCCTAAAAGTGTCTTGTCTTCCAGGGGGATGTGAAGAATGCTCATGATACCTAGTGACCACAGATGCAGAAGGCATGGATGCAGCCATTTCTCTTAGACTCATTTGTTCCTCTAGCTTTTTGCCAAGTACTACAATCACTAGGCTGCAGAAAGTCACTGGGGTTGTCATCTTAATCATCAGATCTAACCTCAAGAGCTTTCAGTGGTGTTTAAATCCTGGTCACAGTGAGCTTTCTGTATGTCTCTGGACAAAGCAGTGAGGAATGGTTATCTGGAAACTGAGCTGCCTCATTAAAGAATGTCTCATGGCCAGGAAAGGTCTAGGAAAAGAGAGCCTTGTCTGCATATAGATGTGAGGCTGTTGCCCACATTCCAAGTCTGCTGGACTAGTTTTTTTCCTGGGAGGACATTTTCTGTGAGGTACTACTAGGGTCTACTTGTTTTCTTATAGGAATCTGCAAATTTTTCTTATTTTTGTAACTACCAAGTGTAAGAAGGTTTTTGTTTTTCTTAGACTCTCTGAATGTCCTGTCAGTTTTGATTTAGAGGATTATTTGATTCCAAATTAAGCTGATCTTGTGCTGTACTGAGATCACATTGAATTTGGAGGGCGTGTTTTACACTAAATGTTCAACTTCACCATTTCTATAATCTGACACAGCATTTGAAACAGTGAAACACATGGGAAGTGGAACACAACCTTTAGGTGGTTCCTGGTACTTCTGTGACTGAATGGAGTAGGTGTGGAGCTGTTATATACGGACAACAAGGGAAGAATGTTCATACAAATATTCTAAACTTCTTACATTATAATAGCTATTCCAACATTTTTTTTTATAAACAAAGTTTTTCTAACTACACTTCAGTTGCACAAGCAGGGAGCAAAAAAAAATATTGGGAGCTTCATTAAAACTGTTTTGACTCCTTTATTGAAGGAACATACATAAGATTTTTCTTCTGCTGCACTTTTTGTCTTCTGATTCCTGGGTACTTCTACATATGAAAGTTGTAGAACGTATTCTTTCTTTCCAGACCATCAGTGTTATCAAGAGACGCTTCTGCAGAAGGGATATTTTAGACTGGGTGTTAAGTTATAGGGAATATCATGTTCTTTGATTAAAAGATACAGTCAAACTTATAATCTAAATTCAAATTGAGCTCTTAGTGTTCTGAATAGGACAACTGTTTGCTTGTGTAAGTAAAGGGAAGTAATTCATGTAATCAAATATGAAATCTTAATAGGCATTATTTACTGTTGAGATCTCCAGCATTTCTGTCTTTCCATCACAATGCTTATTTCTACTTCATCTTCAATTTGGAAAACGCTTTTGCTCTAACAGCTCCCCCCAGTTTTTTAAAACGTGTAGAACTAAAACTTAAGCCTGAATTGTTCTGTGTCCTGAAAGCATCAAAGTGAAGTTCCGAGTCTAGTGACTTGAATCTGTTTTCTCTTTCAGGCCTTTATTTGATCTTGTTTACATCAGTCTTGAATCAGTTGAAACCACACACTCAAGTTACCTTGTTATTACTACAGCAACTTCAGGATTGTACTACATTTCAGAACTTTTTCAAGGGTGGGAGGATGCAGTGAAGCATCCCTCAGGTGTGAGCTTTATTTAAGCAAAGCCACTCGCCCTGGTCTGAATACTCTGCAATATATTCATGTGCTTTTTGACATGGTTTTAGGGCAGCTTATTTGAACTGATCCAGTAAGAAAACAATTCACAATAAGAGTCTAGATTGTTGCATTGTTTGTGCCTAAGATAACTTCTGCTGCTTTCTAGTGAATTGCTTTAATGTGGAATGCAGCTTGAGAGTGATGCTATTAAAATGTGTTTGAAGATGTTGTTAGCCAAGTAACTGTGCAGTGTTCTTAAACGTGTGAAAGCCCCGCAGTGTTACCTCCTGCCCCTTTCTCCTCTGTGTTGCTGAAGCGTTGCTGAAGCGTTGCTGACTGTAATGTGGTTCAGTCTCTGTCTGTATGATGTTACCATGTGCAAATTCATGTTTGAAATCTAATTCCCTTACTGTATGTTTAGCTGATATTCAGGGCTTTGCATGCTTTCCTGATTCAGTAATTTTAAAAGTGACATTTCTCTAAAGCTATTAAGGTAGTAATCCATAAACTATCAAATGGTTTAATATTTTCATTATCTTCTGTTAAATCTAGTATTTGAAACATAAACTTTTCAGGATCTCCAAATGAGGAGAATTTAAACCATTTGTTTCCAGAATATATTGATTTCCATATATAAAAAAAAAAAAGTTTGTTTTTTTGAATAGGCTATACAAGGAAATTAGTTACTAAGAGCATTAATTACATCAGGAAAGAACCTATAAGTGGAATCCAAGACCCTGACAGAATGCAGAACTCACCAGTAATGAATGTAAGCATTTACAGTGACAGTATTGATCTTTGTCACTGGTAGTTTTCTTTCACTCCTCACAACAAAGGAAGCTTTTGTTTTCATGATTCCTAACTCCAAAAAGAAATTGACTTTGTGTTTCTGTGTTAGTCCTCACCCTGTTAATTTGAAATAGTCATGAAGACAATTTCTTGGACATGCTGATGTGTGAGGATGTGTTCCCCTTACAAAGCTTTGGCTGCAGCTGAGAGTGAAGAAGTTAGAGCATTCCCCTGAAGAGCACACATCAGTGGCATAAATGTTGTTAATATCCCCTCTCTTTTTTCTTATAATTTCAAGGGAAATTTCAGAAATTCCAGTACTATTCCCACTAAACAAATGGCAATTAAAAAAATCCCTGCAAGTGCTCTACAGTTGTGGCAGTTGAAACATACAGAATCATTTACTCAGATGGTCTTTTAAGTTCCCTGAAACCCCCTAGGCCCTCAATCACATCTTCTGCCAGACACCAGTGTGCTGCAGCAGGACCACTCTGTCACGCAAGGAAAGAGCTAGTTCAGTCACTGCTCAGGGCTGCTTTCATAGGAATGTCATGATGACGACTGGCTCAATTGTTCTTGTCCTTTTGCAATGCACACGATTTTGTGGCAGTAGGTTACATTTCCAGACGGGCAGTGCTTCAGCAATTACACGGAATCAGTTCATTCTCACACGACGAGCGTCACTGTACTGCTCACACATGGATGAACAAAGGTAAGACTCAAAACCGCTGGCTTCATTCTTATCCTAGTACGTCAGTTGAAGTGTCCTTCTGTGTTTCTGTCTGTCAGGTGGGTAGCAAATTGGAGGCTTTGCAATTGTTAAATTAGGTGCCTTCTACTTGTACACTGTTGCTCCTAGCTGGAATTTAACTATCAGTCAGTCCAGTGTTACAAAGGAGATTGGTTCCTGAGCGTCCATCTACATCTCAATAATCCACACCATGCATACAGCAGGGTTGAATGAAGCCATTTTAAGGCAAGCAGGACTACATTTGTAGCAGTATTTCTATATTATGGTCTTAACCCACACTATGCAGCTGTTTGAAATTTCCTCACTGAAGATAATGACACTTTCACTCAAAGCTGCATAGGCTATGGTCTACCAACCTGGATAGCAGCATCTCCCTAATGACAGTCATTGGTTGGCTCTCAGGAAAGACTTGAATAATCCTCACAGCTCCTCTGCTCCCAGCTGCAGGGATAGCCTGGAGACCTCTTTGGAAAGAAAAGAAAAAGGCATTAAATGCAGATCTGCAAAGGGCAAAGGAAGAAAAATGGCACGCTACCCTAGAATAGAGACAGAGGGATTGCTGGAGTTGGATAAATGCATCTCAAAGAAAAGTGAACACCGGCTCCCTCAAAGCAGGAGGCAATTCAGAGGCAGAAGCACGTTTATGAGAAACTGTAATGTAGCAGAATATTCTGGAGAGAATAATGAGGGAAATAAAACTGTGGAGCAGAAAATGACTTGCCTTTCACATATGAATGGCTGTCATCTCACTGAAACATGGAGACCAAGTAAACTTTGTTTGACTCAGGTTAAAGGGAGTACCTGAAGTGATATGGGTGCTGGTTCACAGCCATGCAGAGAGATGCAGCTGTCATTGTTATTACATCTGTACTGCCATGGAACAGAAGGAAAATATAAGAGAAAACCCATAACAGTGTTGCACTTGAAACTCATAATCTGTGTTACAGATTATTGCTGAATGGCAGTGTTTGTGCATAACAACTTTTGACAGAAGGGACATCCTTTTAAATGTAGAAATTAAGCTAGGTACGTTTTTTGTTTCCCAAAGAACATGTCTTTGTGTTTCTCTTAATGGAGTGGTTCCAAAATACAGAATTTGATTTATAATCTCTTTGAGGAGGGAGGTGTCAGAGGAACTTCACTGAACTAAGTTTTATTCCAAAATCTAGAAGATGAGAGATTTCTGCCGCCTTTTAGAGCTAGCTATTAAAGTCCCACAGTGATTGCAGCCTTCCATAGGTTTGGTTTTGCCGTTCGGATATGTTTAATGACATCAGACTTTGACAAGTGTCATGCTGATCTTTTGTGTTTCATTTTGAGCACTATATTTAATAGAAACTTGCACAGTATGTTCCCGAAAGTGTCCCAAAGACTATATCTGTTAATGTCAGTTCTGCTAAGATGTCTTAGTTAACTGTACTGTACAGGACTGAAGAACATTTCTTGTTAATTTAGAGAGAGAGATAGCTTGATGACATATGCGAATGGCACATGATGTATTTTAAGGTCCATGTATCTAGCCTTTGCTTACTAAGCAGATACATTTTTGTCCTCCCAATCAGTATCTTTCTTAGTTTGAGCATCACCATATTTGAATGTGACGACTTTTAAAGAGAAAATTAATTATGTAACAACATATTTTTAAAATAAGGTATCCTTTGAATTTTATGTGTTTTTATATACGTGTGTGTGTGTGTGTGTGTGTGTGTGTGTGTGTGTGAAGCCCTGATGATTTCTGCCTTGAAATTACTCCACTGCCCTTCTTTGCTCATCAGCTGCTGTCCTTAGGAAGGAGCTGGGCCAACCAGTCCAATGCAGAAGTGGTTGAGGTTATGGGAGTCACTGATTCACAAGGTATTAGAAGCTTTCCACATGAATAAAAATTCCCAGTTTCTGCAGATATATTTAGCAGCACTGAGCTAGAATTAAAATCACAACAGTGCCTACATAAAGAAGGTGAAATAGGGTGAGGAGAAGGCAGTGCTCGGAAATTCAAATAGATACAAGTTTCTCTTTCATCAGAGCGGGCCTGAAGTGCCAGGGGATGCTGTCCTCGGAAGCTCCTTTTTGAAAGGCAGGCAGATGCCTCCTTGGCAGCTGTGCCAAGTATGTCTGAGCAGTGTGTTAATCAGGCATGTACGGTAGCACATATAGCAATGCCTGCTGTTGCTCCTGTAATGCTCTGCTGTGGTTCTCTCTGGTATTTCCCAGGTAGCTGCTGTGAAGAGGATAATTTCAACAGTTCACATGCAGTGATCTGGGTAGAGAATCTAATGCAGCATGTGGTCTGAGGAAGATCTGCCGCCAAATGGCTGCTACTGGTGGAGGGAAGAAACAAGATGAGGCTTAGCCCAGTTTTAAACTGGAGTGCTTGAGAATGCCCTTTTCTGATTTTATTCTTAACCAAGGTAGACAGTATTCCTCTTCTTTATTTCTGCAGGCTCTAAAGAGACAGCCCTCTGTGCTGAGATATGAGAATTTTGTGCCAAACAAATCTACTTCATCATGATAGGTTCAGAAGTGAGCCTTTTATTTCAGGTCTGGTTCTTTCAAATATTCTCCATCCCCATAACCTCCTATTCCTCTGATGTTTGTGTTGCAGAAGAGAATGTGAGGTTTCCGGTGATCAAGACCTGACTTTGACTACGTGTTGGCAGACAGCAGCTCTGACACAAATTGCTTTGCAAAGACTATGCTGGTGGGCAGTGCTGCTCTCTTCTTCCCTCTGGCTCCCTTAGTCTCCAGGAACCTTTTAGCCAACATGTTGCCACTGATAACACATGGTTACTGCCAGCAGATCCCTTGCACAGTTTTGGCCTTCCTTCTTGGCGCAAGGCAAAGCAAAGCAAGGGTCCTTCAGCCCTACAGCAGTCAGACCGTGTTCACTGTCACTTCCTCCTTAGGAGCTCAGGGTCTCCATCAGTGTGGCTCTGTCTCCATCTTGCTCTCATTTTTGTCTGCTGAAGTTTAGGCAGAAAGATGAACCATTGGTTCACCATGCAGTTGTCATCGAGGGCACAGAGCAGTTTTCCTATCTCAGTGCCTGGGAAGCCTGAGCTGAGGTGTGCCCTGAGACATCTTGGCTGCTGGGATAGTTTAGTGATGTGTGTCTTCCCCAGAGAGCTTGACAATATGCAGCAGCTGTGAACTTAGTGCTCTTGCTTCCTAGTTGTGGGAAAAGGAGCGGAGCAGAGAACATGTGTTCTGAAGTTGGAAGTGGCTTCTTCCTTTGTGTCCTACAGCAATGAGATACATGGATTAATATTAAATGCATTGGTAGCACATGTGTCTAAAATTATTTCATGCTATTTAGAACAAGTCCTTTGAGCTAAGGCTGTTGTAAACTCTAATTAGTCTATGCTAATCTTCATAATAAGCAGCTATTTCTAATGCAGATCTAACTGATGAGGTCTGACAGCATTTTCCATGCTTATGGAAGGAAGGAAGCCGGTACGGTGGTAGTATCACAGTGTTCTCCTAGTTTGTGAAAATGCTGTGTTTTGAGTGCCCTGCAGGGCATTTGTATTTGCTGCAGGCCTCTACCTGCTCTCACGTTACCAGCTTATGCCTGTCCAATTGTATTTATTTATGCAGAAAACCGAGAAAACTCCTTCAGCCGTTCCCGAAGCTCCAGCGTGTCGAGTATTGACAGGGACTCCAAGGAGGCAATCACAGCCTTGTACTTCATGGAGTCCTTTGCCCGAAAGAATGACTCTGCTGTCTCCCCATGCCTCTGGGTTGGAACAGGCCTTGGTATGGTCTTAATCCTCTCTCTTAACCTGCCTGCCAGTGACGACTTACGGCAGTCAGAGCCGGTCATGGTGTCACCGAGTGGTAAGAGTGCAGCCTTTTTTGTGTTTATTATCCATCTTGGACAATGGGGGAAAAACTGTGTGCTTTTATGCGGCCTTTTTGCCAGAGAATTCTCAGGAAATGTATTTAGTAGTAGTCATTCACTACATAGATATTAGAAAGAAATTCTTTACTGTGAGGGTGGTGAGACTGGAACAGGTTGCCCAGTGAGGTTGTGGATGCCCCTCCCTGGAAGCATTCAGGGCCAGACTGGACAGGGCTTTGAGCAACCTGGTCTAGTATGATGTCCCTACCTATAGCAGGGGGTTGGAACTAGATGATCTTAAAGGTCCCTTCCCAAACCATTCTATGATTAAGGGCACACAGGTAAAAAGAGATGCATGTGAGAAACCCACAGCTTCACGAACTGAGGCACTTTAACTGCATTAATCTTGAAGGTCACCCTACACCTTGAGCAAAGTCACATTTATTTCTTGTGAGAACAGGGAAACTGGCAGGGATCCTTCATATTGGGAAACTGCAGTCCTGTGTGCTGCTCTGATGCTATCCTATCTGGGATTCTGTGAACAGTTTGGCTGTCTTTCCTGTCAGAAGGCTGCAGAGAAGCAGAAGGGAGCTCAGGAAAGGAAACACAAATGTTGGCAGGTTGGTGTACCAGGAGAGATCTTTGGCTGAGTGAGTGACAGATGGCAGAGCAGAGAGGACAGAGGGCTGAGAGAGGTCAGGGCTAAGAGACAGGATGTGCTTATTGTGTTGTGAGTAAAATAATGCCAGAAAACAGGGTGCCACAGGAGTAGTGATAAGCCCCCCCACTCTTTTTTGTTTAGAAAAACAACACTGGATGGACACCAGACTAAGGGTAGCAATTTTACTGGTTGGGGAATAAATAAACTTACTGGTAGTGATAAATGTAAAAGAAAACAAAAAAGCGGGGGGGGGGGGGGGGGGAAGCAGTCTATCTTTATGGCATTCAGTCGTATGTGCTATGTAGGTTATTTGACATGGGCTGCCTGAGACCTTTCAGTAGTGACAGCCTACGTGTTCACTTTCCTGTGTGGTCAGGAAGAACTGAGTAAGGAAGACCTGTCACCCTGGCTAGATAAATGCATTTTCTGTATTTACAAAAGGAGAAGTTGGGTGTCACCTGTGCTGTGGATCCACTGTGCTGACAAGCAGTTCAATTGTGGTGCCAGTGCCAATGAGAAAAGATTGTATTTTGCAGGCACAGTTCTGACACTGAAAGGAGCCGTGCTGACTTTCGCCTGCTTGGACTGCACAGGGACATTGATACATCCACCTTATGAAGTATGGAGGGACCCACACAGTGCTGATGATGGTGAAAAAACAAGGAAAAGAAAACTTGTCATGCATTCCCCTTCATCCTCCCAGGATATGGGTGATCATCAATTTGCAGTCATTTGTTCAGAAAAACAAGCCAAAGTCTTCTCATTGCCTTCCCAAACATGTCTTTATGTCCACAACATCACCGAAACGTCCTTTTTATTGCAAGCAGATGTGGTCACCCTCTGTAACAGCGTCTGTCTGGCGTGCTTTTGTGCCAATGGGCACATCATGACACTGAGGTACTTATCTAACTAATCTCATGGCAAAACTAAGCAAAGAGGTGGCACAGTGCCATCGCGTTCCACTTGCATTTGCTGCGGTGTGCCTACATGGTTGATGCTCTGCGTTAGCTGCCTGATAGATGCATTTAGTGCACGTTTTATATACAAGTAATTGCTCTTCTGGGAGCATTGCCTTGCCCGCAGCCATACCTGTTCCTTGGCTTGCCTCCGCGTGGGGAATTAAGGCAGTGGAACAGCAAAACAAGCTCTTCCATTTCTTAGCAGCTCTCCCATGATGATGGCTGATGGTTGATGACTTATAACTGGCATAAAACTTGTAATTTTTTCTCCCTACTGTCAATCGGGTATAGAGCATTAAGAATAACTCGGGCATAGAAATGGTACTTTTTATCCAGTGTGAAGGGTCCAGTCCCATTTCAGATTTTTTGCGCTCGGTGCACTTAGTTTCTCTTCCTTGCTGTTGCCCCATTGAGTTGACTGTGCAGCATCACTGCAGTTATGCCCCCGCATCCCCACATCACCCCTTCCCTGGTCATGCCATTTAAATCTGGGCAAGTGCCATCCTGCTGTACAGCCAGTGAGTTGAAGCTGGAGAAGCTGGAGGACAGCAGAGAGGTTGCTGGAGCCTTTGCTCACAGTATGCGAGCAGGACACTGCCACGTGCCCAGCAGTGACTAGAGGCAGGTCTCAACCTGCACATTGCCCAGCCACGTGGCACAAGCCATGTGTTGCAGGTATGTCCCTCGTGGCAGGAGCTGCACGTTGAGGCAGGGCAGCTGAAACTCCTCCCTGCAGAGAAGCAAAGTAGAAAGGAAGGCACCATGCGGATGGCAGATTTTTTTTCACCTTAGAGCTGTGACTAACTCAAGTCTCTGCTTCACTTCAGCCTGCCCAGCCTTCGCCCACTGCTGGACATCAACTATCTGCCTGTAACGGATATGAGGATAGCGCGGACCTTTTGCTTCAGTAACGAAGGGCAGGCTTTGTACCTCAGCTCTCCCACTGAGATCCAGCGCCTCACGTACAGCCAGGAGATGTGTGACAACCTGCAGGTAGGAATCGCATCCTTACTTCACACTGTCTTTGTGTGGGAGGGCTGGAGGCCTGAGCAGCGAACTGTGCAAGTGTGAATTGCCACCTTTGCTGCTAGATTTCTCAAAGTAGCATTTTACCAGGCTGTGATTTCTAGTCAAAAGTAAGAGATGATGATTTGTTGTTCAGTGTAAGCCTGCGTGTCGGTGGGAAAAAAAGAGCTAGTATTTTAGTTAAATTTTAGCATTTTAAGTGACCTCAAGGACGTGTTCCTTCATATTTGCCATTCTGACAGAGCAGAGAAAGGTCATCTGCTCTGTTGCTGTTTGGTCTTTTTTGTGCTGCTGTCACCGTGTTCCTGTGCCCCGATGACTGGCCCATGTCTGCAGCTTGCCCTCACCTAATTATAGTCTCTGCTGTCTCTGTATGGAGCCAAATTTACACCCAAGTGGGACTCTTCACAGCCTGCTTCTATCAAAGCCTGCCCATATGAGAAACCAACTGTTAAAAGTGACTGAAGGGAAAGAAGGGAAAGTTACACATTCAGAGCAGCCATAGCAGTAGGTACTGGCATGTGTCCAACGCATAGAAACTGCCTCCATGAAAATATGCATTCCTGCCATCATTTATTTTTCAGATCTTAACTCTAAAAACATCTTAATACTTACAACTTCCAGTAGATGGGTGACATGAGACAAACAGGTGCTGATAGTATCAAAAAAATGCACTCTGTTTTAATGTATTTTTAATTATTTTCCATCATTTTCACTCCAGCATCTCCCACTGTACATTAAAATGCAGTAGCTACAGAAATGGTCTAATTAAAAAAAATTTATTTTGAGCAAAGCTCTTTACAGTGTTGGGTTTGCCTTTTTCTAATGAAAATGCAAATTAAAATGTCATTTACTGAAGAGGAGGAATTGTGAGAGGTTACAAGGAGAAACATGAGGAATAAAATAAAAAATAAGAAGGTGAACAAGTTCTAAGTTATGTAATTAGCACTGAGCTAGGATAGAAATACAGAAGAAATAGTCTTGCCATCACTTATTGTCCCCTAGAGAATAACGCGTGCTGAGCTGCTTGAGTCACATCACAGCAGCACGTGTCTCAGCTCTGAAGGAGTGCTGGGAGGAGTGAGCATTGCATACAAGCTCTTGCACATTGGAAAATAGATCATTTTGCAGGGAACTAATTTCAGAATTATCGGAAAGTTTGCTCGCTGCATCTGGGAAAGTGGATTTATAAGCAAGAGGCTGTTATAAGCTAGATTGTTAGTAGCCTTAACAGCATCGTGCAACAACAAAATGGAAACAGCCCTTGCTTCTCTGTACTGCTGAACTATGGCCGCTTCTACCTTGGCTTTTATCCAGAAGAGGACATAAAGGGCTTGCACAGCCATTATCCCAGTATAAAAAGCAGATGACCAGGTATCACCTGCTACCCAGGAAAACAAGGCAAGCTGCATGAGAGAGTCCACTCAAGCTCAAAAGCTGCAGTAATTTTTCTCCCTGGATCAGGTGACAGTGCAGGGAAGCAGTAAGTGTGAGTCACAGCTTTGTCATTGGCACTCAGCTTCTCAGGAGCCGAGTGCTTTGAGCAGCACTACAGCTAGATGTGCCTGCTGAGGCTCAGATGAGCAAACAGAGCTGAGCAGCAGGGCAGCAACTGTTCTCGTTGCACAGACTCACTGGTTTTAAACACTAATGGGACTGCATGCTTTCTGTATCAGTTTAATTCTGGAGATTCAACTTTTTCTCTTACTGCTGCAAATAAAGCTGAACCTGAGATTTGTTTGGCCCTAATTCAGTTCACCTGCTCTGGTGAAAATTTCAGTTTCCACAGCAGTGCTTTCAAACACTGCCTGATGGTGCTGCCAAAATGCACTGTAAGAATGAACTTGGAGAAGGGTGGATTGTGGAGGGCAGTGGGTTTTTATTTAAAAAAGAGCAACTCTGAACTTCTAATAAGGACTGAACTCAGGTGTGCTATAAACGGAGAACAGATTGACAATCCTGCTAGCCTGAAAATTACTAAAGCAAAATGCATAATTCATGATAAATTGTTTATTCAATTATAGTGTCACCACTGTTGTTTCTAAGCAAAATGTAATGTCATCACTGATATTTCCGTGATCTATATTGCTTAAAATGTTTTCTCTATGAACACAAGACTGGGCAGGGAAAACTAAGTCCTTTTAAAGCATTAGCGAATCTAGTGACTCCCAGTATTCACCTAGTAGTAAAATTCAGTCCCAGTATTCACCTAGTAGTAGTAAAACACAACTGTTAAGTACTGATTTTTGTTCTTCATACGACACGCTTTTAAAATGACTCGACTAGATCCAATGCGTTTGGCTCCTTAAGCTCATGCAAATGAAAC